TACAACAATAATTATGGACTTATAACTGAAGATCTCGATGATAAAGTTATTGAAAACCATTGTTCGCTCGAATTGTCTTTGTTTTTGAATATTCTACATGGATTTTTAACTACTAAAAACATTTATTTTACGAAAAACACCATTGTCACTTTTAAGATTATAGACCAATTCAAGGTAAAAAATGAATGAGCTGCTATTAAGTCCTTGAATGTTTACGGAATTGTAATTGAAAACAGAACACAAAATATTTAACTTTTCCAACCTTTAGTATTTAATTAATGTTAAGATATAAACAGTTATATGACTATCACTAATTATTTGCATAATGTTGAAAGAAATTGCTTCAGATCCCTTAGTACCCTAAATGATTGAGGACAGTATGTAAACCATGTAGTTTGAAATAAATGGATTGCCGAAATAACAGATTTCAGAACGTTAAAATAAATGTATCAGTAGTAAAACAATAGAACCGTTCTTCGAGATATTGATAAACTCAAACAATTCAAGATAGCCGTCAATAACAAGTCCCAAACCCTACAAGATCTACTGAAAGAACATGAAACTACTATAGAGGACAATTGGAAAGGGATCAAGATAATACTATCTTCAACGTGTCAGGAGGTTCTAAGCAGCGGGAAGCATTATCATAAGAAATACATCTCTATCGAAACCATAGGCAAGATTCAAGAATGGGAGAACAAGACGGAAATTAATAACAGTCGAACAAGAGCAGAGAAAGTTATGGCACAAGCTGATTACGCAGAAGCAAACAAGCAAATGAAGAGAATTATTAGAGCCGACAAATTGAAAAACGTGGAAGACCTACCAGTGACTGTGGAAAAACATGCAAGAAAAAGAAATATGAAACGGCTATATGACACAACGAAGAAACTTGCAGGAAAATATAATAAACAAGATAGACCAGTCAAGGATAAAGAAAGCAGGCCAATCACTGAGATTCAAGAACAGAAAAAAAGATAGGTAGAACCTCTTAAAAAACTCTTGAATAATACAGCTCTAATGAACCCACCAGACATCGAAGCAGGATACATAGATCTTCCTATAAATGTAACTCTACCAACACACGAACAAATCAGGATGGTCATCAGATAAATCAAGAATGGGAAGACAGAACGACCAGACTGTAAGATCCATTTTGAATGCTTTGTGTGTTTGTGAAAATCCCATCATGTATATACTTGCACTTTGTTCCTATTGATCCCCTTAGTTGTACATTGTTAGTTTTTTGATTACATTTGAATTGTTAATATTTGTATTTTATCATAGTTTTTATTTTATTACGCCTTCACTAAGTTTTTGTGCTTCTTCCCGAACTGTATCTATGTTGTTTTACTTGACATTTGTTCTTGGCGGCAGCCATATTGATTTGCTCCTCCTTTTGTGTGTGATCTATCCAGTCAGGATAGAATCGCGTTGATTTGTTGTAACTGGTAATTTTTCCACATCTTTTATCAACTTTATTTAATGTAGTTTAGATTTGATTGATTGAACAATTATTGGTTGAATAGCCGGGTGGTAATATTTGTTTAGGTAACGATTTACATTTAAATTTATGATGAATTATAGAACCGCTATTTACCCGATAACTTGTTTTGATTTCGACGGGCAAGGGCGCGTGTCTGACGTACCTGGACGGCTATTCATCTATCCAAACCGTAGTTTGGATTCTACACAGAAAACATACCAGCTGAAGCTCTGAAGCCAGACACAGAAGTAATTGAAAGTATGCTCCACCCACTATTCAGGAAGATCTGAGAGGAAGAACAAGTGCCGACAGACTGGATAGAAGAACATTTCTTCAAGATACCAAAGTAAAGAGATTTGAAAAAATGTGAAAAATACAGAGACGTCACACCATTATCAGTACCAGGAAAAATTTCAACAGGGTGTTACTGAACTGGATGAAATATTTAGTAGATGCCCAGTTTCAAGACCAACAGGCCGGATTCCGTAAGGATCAGTCGTGCACAGACCATATGGTGACGCTACGCATCATCATTGAACAATCAATTGAATGAAACACGCCATTACATATCAACTACCTTGACGGTGAGGAAGAACTTGACGGTGTGGACAATAAGACTTTATGGAAACTTCTTCGACACTATGGTGTATCTGAGAAGATTTTCAACATCATATGGGATTCTTTTGACAGACTATACTGCAAAACAGTGCATGGAGGACAGCTGACAGATACATTCCAAGTGAGGGCCGCAGTAAGAAAAAACTAACTACTCTCTCCCTTCCTCTTCTGTTGGTCGACGGGATTATGAAGACCTCCACATCGATGGGAAAGCACGGACTACAATAAACAACTTGAATGCAGCTAAATGATCCCGTATACACCAAGAAGTGAAGGTTAAGACTGATATGATCGAAAGAAAAGTAAATTTTTGATCGATTTACTCATTATGAGTTTTGTTCAAGATTACTTCCATTTCGATTCAATGTAGTATTTGGTTTCGTTTCTCGTATGATCTTTTGTTCTGTATAACATGCGATATTCTTGTATTCCATTGACTTGAACTATGCTCAGTATGTGATTTGTTATAACTCTAAGTATTTTTTATATATGAGGTTTCATCTTAACTTTTAATCAAAATGGGTGTACAATCAATATATAAATGAGTGTATTTTCTACTAGAGTTGTCGTCGTGTTTTGTGACCAAGAAATCTTCACTTATACGAGTCTTTGTGTTCTTACTTTCGCGTCGTGGGAAGTGCAAAGGTCCCTCGTTCCGAGTATAAGTGATAAACGTTTCCGACGTAACAATCAGCGACGACCAGATACAAAATGTAGCACTAAAAGAGCCAAGACAACAAGCATTCAAACGAAAAGTTACAACAAAGACAACCAGTATAGCAACAATATTCACAAGAAAAAGCAACATCCCTAAATACAGCACGGAGAACACCAACCCAATCACACTCGATGGAGAGGTTCTCGAAGAGGTGGAAACGTTTACGTACCCGGTCAGCATCATCGTCAATGAACAAGGAGGATCTGACGCAAACATGAAGGCAAAGACTGGCAAAGTAAGGGCATCATTCTTACGGTTGAACAACTCAAGACAGTTATCAATCAACATCAAAGTGAAAATCTTCAATATGAATGTCAAGACAGTTCTACTGTATGGAGATAAAAATTAAAGAATACTGGTAAGTGACCTATGCTCCTCCACGACGGGTAACAGGTATAAGTAAGCAAATAAGTACATCAAGAAAATGAAATTTTCTTGTTTTGTTTTTTTTTTCAATTCCAGATACTCAGATCTAGTTGTTTAAGAACATTTTTTTTAAAGAAAAGCTGGAAATATTAACTTTTATTGCATTATCGATTACATATAACTGTAGTAAAACCTTCACTTTGACAAACCTCTAAAATATATAGTACATATTCATATTTTACTGAGATAAAGTTTTACATAATTAGTAATTATTCTGCCCTATTCATTATAATAATTATTATTATGAAAGTGATGAAAGTATGTTTAGATAAATAAGAACAGTAATATCACATAACTTGATTATTTTATTTGTTAATTTTATTAATTTGACGATATTCCCTGACAATTGCCTATTAAAGACTAAGTTAAATTGGCTGTCAACAGAATGAACAAACCGTAAAACACTATTTGGTATGTACATCTAAATGTTTAGATATTTTCAAATCTTTTCAAATATACGAAGCATTAATATATTACTTGTATAAAAGCAAGATTTTTCTAGTAATTTTAGAGTAAAACAATCTGAAAAAAAAAGAAGAAATACAATGTGAATGATAAACTAGTTGAAATGACAACAGTTTACTTATGATTCTAATAATGTTTGTAAAAGTTTAAGAGTGGATATATAGAAAATCACTTATCTCTTAAATTTTATTCTAACACCCTATCATGAATGTTCATCAATTATAGTTTCGACCTATTCCATAACTTTGGAAATATAGTCATTTAGGAACATTAAGAATTATGATAACTTTTGATATATGCATTATGTTATTGTTGTTTTTTTAATAAAAAGGAGAGCATATCTTAGATTTTTTGAACATGTTCCAAAAAGTCTTAGAATAAGGGAAAGAAAGATTCTGAACAGTGCAATCACCAAACATCTCCTTGATACAGGACATCAGGTACCTTTAGGGTGATTAGTAAGCAGCCAAACTCCAGTCTTCTGATGTTTGCTGAAGTTATTGCCATCAAGCGTCAAAAACCTGACCTATGTATTCAAAAGGAAACGGTTGTTATTCTTTCCTTGCCTTGGTGACAAATATTCTTTCGCTGCACCTTAAAAATTTTTTTATTTATTTATTAGGTCATTGATTCTATTTTATTTTTTCAACTATCTTTCTAATTAATAATCTTTCAACTGAACTCTACTCACTATATTCCTATCAATGTTTATTCATTATGTAATCAATTGTTTCTAACCCACTTTTGAACTGTTGTCACAATTAATCTTGTAGAATATTCTTTCACATTAGGTATATATTTACAATATTCAGTAAGCAATTTAAACCCATTATGTAATTATGATTTTTAAATATCACAGGTTGTATAGCAGCTGATGAAAACCTACGAAATCAAATGAATTCATGCTATTCTGCTAGAATCTTTGTTCTTGTTCTTTTCAAAATGATAAAGGGAACTATATATATATAATAAAAACAATTTGAATTTATGTATCATAAGCCATACAAAATCCATTTAAAATCATTTTATATCATAACTTGTATTTTATTCTTATTTTTTGTACATATTCTAATTTGAAATATTCCCATATTGTAAATTTAGATGAGGATCTAATCGAAAACAATATTGTTCGCTTATATATGTTGTTCTATATATTCTAATTTATAAAGTAGTATTAAACAGTTCATATTTCATTCTCTGAAATTATTAGTTAATTCCCATGTATTGTATTACATCAATTACATCACTTCTAGGTATATATATAATAATAAATGATAAAGGATATTGCAATTATTTGAGATAAGATTGAAGGTAGAATTCACTAACCAATATTACTCAAATCTATTTCATTTATCATTCTGGTAAGTAATCATTTAACTAAACTTATACACTTGTTTCGCTGAATTTTTAAACCAGATATTCTTTGTTTCAATTTGGTTTAATGTTTAATAGAGTGAATCAATTTATGTTATTTTAATTGATAAACTTCATTAAAATATATTCAAACAATTGTCAAGTTCAATTGTTGTTGTTAAGCAATCATCATAGTGTTATATTGTACAAAGTTTATCTCTTATAGAATTCATCACTTAGATGTTGTTATGTAATTTATCTGTGAGATGATATTGCTTATATCATAATTTGAAAACATTATGATTTACAAAATTTGTGTGGATTTAAGTGTTTTTAAAATAATTAACTTTCATAATTATTTTCATTTCCATATATATGTCTTAATTTTGGTACATTAATGGTAGAAATAGATCACCTAGTTGTTGTAAATTTTCAACGTTGATGAATAACTAACGAACTTGTATTTGTGAGTTTATGGAAAAGAAAAAACATGTTATATAACATTACCTTAGTTACAAGAAAATATCCTGACACACTAATCACTGTTATGTTAGTGTTATTATGTACAATTTGACTAAAAGTGTAATAGACTCTTAAGATTTATTCTCAGTTTCTTTATACAATTTGTTTGGAAGGTAAATGGTCAGTATGTTATGAATGTTGGCTAAAACACTGTGTAATAACATTGAGTTTTTAAGACTTTAATCACGTCCCAATAACAGTAGTTATGTTTGTTACACATTAGTGTGTTTAGCTTCTGTTCATCATACAACGAAAAACAATGAAATAAGTAAAATATCTGGTTAACAATAACAAGTTTTTTTCTGCGAGATGGAGTTACTGACCAATGCCTGAACAACCTTCTTTACACGAGCTTGAGACCGGCAGTAACTCTAGAAGAGCTATAGACGGAGTTTAAACAGTTCTACTGTATGGAGATAAACTTGGAGAATTACAACAATTATCATCAAAAAAGTACATGTATTTATAAAAAATTGTATACATAAAGTAATCAGTGTTCGTTGACCTACTGTGGCGGTGAACAAACAAACTTTCAACTGAAGAGGAAGTTAGGAAATGACATTGGAAGTGGATAAGCAAGCAATAAGTTGGAATCTTGAAAGGAAACTGAAAAGAAGAAGACCAAGGAATACATTGAACTGGAACTTGGAAGTAGAAATTAGAAAAATGAATGGCAACTGCAAAGAAGTAGAAATGATTGTTCAGAACAGTGTTTGACATATATATAAGATTCAAAATAACCTTAGCTTTTGTTATTTATCGTCATATTTTAATGTACATTCAGTGAACATATGTATGACCAAATTTGATTTCCATCATCTCAAAAACTAACAGGAAAAATAAATTTTATCATTATATAAGTTTATAAACTGAAAGTTAGCTTTTTATCATAGAATTAATTACACTATTTATCGAAAGTTTATTGAAATTTAGTCATAATGGGAAGAAAACGTTCATGACCTAATTAATCATATGTTTAAAATAGTCCAAATACTACTTAAAGCATAAATCAGGATTTCAATCCAAATTTTTATAACTTGATTGATTGAATTAGACTAAATGAAAAAAATAATAAGTAAATAAATAACATAATATTAATTACTATTCTATATCTGATCTGTGTAATTTATTAGTTCCATGGAAACTAATTTGTAGATTATATATCACAGTTGTTTGATTCTTTAGCGTGAGATGAAGTAATTTTAGATGGAATCACTATGTATCATTGGTTCTATCAAGACCACCAAAATCATTGATTCTTTATAAAATTTTCAGTAGTTACAGAGATATAGACTATAGTTGTACAAGTAAATTACTGAATATAGTTCTTTAAAAAATAGCTATATATTTCTGCACTGAAAATAAACATAATATTACTAGTGGTGTACACTTTGAATCTCAAAGGGTTAATCACCAATTACAATGATAACAGTTCAAGTAGTTGTACAAAAAATGTACAAATTCTTATACTGTGGCATTGACAATACACGATTAACAATTTTAATAGATATATGTTTTGTAATATTCCAATGAGTAGAGAAATTGTATCTCTGAAATTTCGTGATTTAATGTAAGCCACTTCTTCAAAAAATATATCTATTGTTAACTCTCTACCCAATGCTCAATTTATTCGAAGTTGACCTTGATATTGATAACAATAAACTCATTATTAATCGGATTAGCAATTTTGTTTGGATTAAACTCAAATTTGGATGCAAATTTATGTATTACATCATGAAATATTAGTTAAACTGGCTATTGTCTTTCTTATTCAGCAAGCAACTTTGAAAGTGCTTCAGACACAGATTCACTACTATCGTTGTAACTAACACACGAACAAGATAAATAACTGATTGTTCCAATATCAAGACTTTTCGTTGACACATGAATCTAATAAATTTGTTGCTGAAAGATTATCCAAGTTTACTTTACCATGGGTTGGACTAGATATTATTCAAACGCAGATATTATGGTGTGTGCTACTTAAGTTGACATAAGTAGTATATGATGTTAGTCGTAAACAGAACGTCTGACAGCAGAGAGACAAGAGGATCGAACAGTAAAAAATGGAAACAGAATGCTATTTGTATGAAAATGCAAGAACAATGAAGTCTGAGTCATGTTGCGACAATTAATGGACATTTTGCAAATTAAGCATTTACTTTATGATGGTTAGATTTTATTAACAATTTCTGTAATTTTGTGTTAAATACATTCCATTGTCCTGACTGATGTTCTTGTTCACTACAATATTATCATACAATTAAACATCAAATTGATAATAATCCTAAGTTCATCTTTATGAATGAATTGTATGAACGAAAGAATGCTGACTATAATTTTGTCAACTTTAAATGTTTATCCACTGTTGAAGATCAAAATAAATTAGAAATGTGCTTCAATAATGCTTTTTTAAATAGATGATTGGATCTAGACGGTAATATTGACATTACCTAAGTTATAAATTGAAGTAGTTGGTAGTTACGTATTTCTAATGTGTACTGATATATCTTTGTTGTATAGATGAAGGAAACACTTTTATATAATCCAAATAACAAATTATTCGTCTTAAAAACTAACTCCAAGACATGAGCTTTACGTTCTGTAGAACATCGTATATTTCACTAGGTATATAAACTGAATCAATTTGAATTATTTTAACGATTGTCATCAGAAATATCCATGACGAAAACCTATCCCAATTCAATAAAATTTCAGAGTTAATCAATTTAATACTGATATTATGGTACGATAATCCTTAAAACTCAATTTCATTTAACTAACATGTGCTGTAAGCTGTTTTCATTCATAAAAACTATTATCAATATCTGGTTACTCTGCTTACGATAGTGGCATGGTTTTAAACTAAATCACTAAAATGATTCAGTGCAGTTTGATAGTAAGATTACATTTACTTCAATATATAGTGTGCATTACATATTCCTTAGCTATAAAATAATAAAATTCTTTAAGCTCGTTTATATCATGAACCGACTTTTGCTAGACAATCATTGAAAGATATCAAGCCTATAAAATCTGTTTCACCCTACCGTAGAATTTCTTAGTACTACAACCTTAAACCCAACCATTTATCTAGCTATTCTAATGCTTATAATTGTAGAAAGATATAAATAGAAACTTGAACGTCATGTTTTGTATCTAGGTAGTGTTCACTAATTTAATTCGCTTTAATTTAAATAATAAGAAATATATTATTTTCTGACTTCTTTTATATATAATTGTTGAAATAAAGTAACAATAATACAATTTGGTTTAATCTCATATCTATTTTAATCTAATGAAGAAAATACTGTATCAGATTACACTTTTAACATTTTCAGAATGTTGCCTATTTCTGAAGAAACGCCCTTAAATTCACTTTTTTCATTAAATTTCAAAGTGTTAAATGATTTCGATTTCATGATTATTTATTTTATTTGTTACATCATTTTTAGTAATAATTACGTTTTTTCGTAATCATGATAATTACATATTCTAGTCAAATTTACACTACTTTACACTTATCTGACTTATTGGTTATTATAAATATAAATATTGTCTGAATTGTAGTGTCCAATGTAAGTGTAAGAAATGTCTTTCACTTAACCATTTTGGGAAAGTTCATACCTAACTAACTCCATCAACAGATAATTTTAATTGTTAGTAAGGGGTTATATAGATTGTTGAGTTTCATTCAGACCATGAACCAATTTAAGGTAGAAGTACTGGACGGCTGTTTCTACCTAGTGTCGGGCTCCATAGTAGTACGCACCAACAACCATCGTACCTGATAATGCAACCTCCGATCTTTGGTCTCGTGACCAGTGGAGCTGAACCGGGTCAAGTATGAGATAGTTACCCACCGAATACGATGAAAATGCCTGAACAATGTGGTGGATTCATTGAAGTTATTCGTTGGTAACGTTCAATGCCGATTCAGTGCTCTTGAGGTTATGCGTTAGCGTGTGAGTCCGAAGGTCCTGAGTTTGGTTTCCGCATCTGGGTCGGAGATGCGCACTGACCAGGACGAAACGGTCGCTTAGTGCTTTTGGGTTTTATAGTATTGACCTAGCTTAAATCGATTCATGATCTCTATGAAGTTATTTTAGGTGGATAACAGTATATACCCCCACAGTCACAGACATCTCCGAAGGAATAACTAAATGATGGTTATTAAGTCATTTTCTGTTCACAAATATTAGGAATAAAGAAACAAAATCCTTGCATTTTACAATGTAGGATACTTTAAATGATACAAAGAACGTTACTGAATAGATTTTGACATTAAAAAGCAATTTAGGTACTAAATAGACAGAATTTAAAAAACAGGTAAAGAATATGATGCACTGAGATACCGTTCCAATAAAGAAAAAATCTACAGTTGGCATCGCGAAATTCTTTGTTAAGTGTAAAACTGAGATCAGATATTATAACTGATCTGTGCCTATTCCATAATTAATAAGCTGTGATAATAACTTTTAAAACATTAAAAACAAAGTGCAAATTAATTTTCATTGTATCGTAGTAGGAATTTATTCAATGAAACATACAAATTCTAATCATACTGATACAAAAAAGGTGTAATCCAGTTTATCTGTGTCCAACTCATATACCTAAAACATCTCATGAAGTCATGTTTCAAAAGTAAGACAAAGTAATAGCAAAATCATACATATAGTGTCCAACTGATAGTCTGGTTGTTATATTAGAGTAAGCAAACAGAAATTATCATAATAATATCGACATTAAACTTAAAAGTTTTCAAATAATCTGAATGATGCATCAACTTTTACTTGTATTTAACAAGAAAATTTACTTTTGTCACTTGTATGCATGCAAAAAGTTAGAAATTTTATCCCTGTAATTATGAATATAAGTACACTTATATACTAGAAACAAGAGAGGTCATATTTGTTAGCAAGACATTTGTTAAGTACCTATTAATATTAAAACACTCCAAGATAGGGACAAATATATTTATTTGTTTCATAATTATGAAATTTGATTCTCAGTATTACTGTTTGTTCAATTAACAGAAGACGAAATGTAGTAGAGTTCAGCAGGAGGTTAAGAATCGGTTAAATGAACAAAATACTTTACCAGTGTGGTTATAATTATGCGTTTGAAAAGTATTGACTATCATACAATTTGTAAATCATAAAATATCTCATTTAAGGATAGAGATTAACTCATGAAATGATAATTGTTGTAACGTCTCTAACATATGAATTTAAATCAATAAATATAACTTAATGAGGAATCAGTCTATCTTTATGTTTTACCATAACCTATGGTTAGACTTCATCTTTATCACTGATTATAGTGACTAAAAGATACCATTAATAAACTGCAGATTAGAATTATTGGCTTTCTGTTTTTCCAAGATCCTGATTTTATTTTCTATACAATTACCTTAATGAATTATATGACGGTTGATATTGGGATGATTGTGACATTTTGTATTTACTCATTACGAAAACTTTAGAGGGTATGACCATGAATATTTTTTTTAAATACAGTAATTGGTTTAAACGCTATCAAAATATATAATTAATATGTCAAGTTCCAATCTTTATTTTGCTCAAATATATACAAATATAGCGTTCTGAGAAACAAATTATCAATAGCCGTAACACAACGTTGTCACTTGAATCTAAACTATTAATAGAAGGATTATTAGTTCTCATTATTATTGAAAATGTAATCAATGTACAAATAATTGATTTTTATATCCATTTCGAAACAATAATAACTGATTATATTGTCAGGTCACAGGTTTAAGGAGTTCAAAGGGAAAAAAAAGCAAGGTTTTTCATTAATGCGAGGGCAAACGGGAATAATCACTTTAAATCCTAGTTGTTTAAATGTGTTCTTTTATTTAATATTCATTTTTAGTTTTGACTTTATTGTAATTAAATATATCAGATTAATTATTTTACTAAGAAAAACCTATTACCTTTGACAATAAAAAGGTTATAGATGTAAACAACATGTTTTGAAAAGAATTCCAAAACTGCAATTGTTTCCTGAATATCTCGGAATTGATTTTTACATAATATTACTTATATTAAAATATGTTTATACCTTTTCATTTATTGATTGACAGATTATAAATTTTAATTGCAACAGTCAACATGAAACAAAACCTAACATTTGCTACTCTTTGGTCAGATGATAATGATTTCATGTCAATCGTTCATCCACATTGGCATAAATTTACTCAACCTGATCCATTATATTACTATCTAGTAGGAATTTATATTGGTATTGTTGGTATATTAGCAGTAATGGGAAATTCTTTGGTAATTACATCATTTCTTTTGTAAGTTTTTGTTCAAAATGTTTGTATTTCGTGTCAACCGATAAATCCACATGTAAAGACAATAAAAATGTCGTAGGAAATAGATTTAAATAACTGAGAACTGGATACTTTTTTCAATATGGTTATTAAATTGGGGAACATTGATGCTGATGAATTGAGTTGAATGTTTTTTCTATGTTTAAACCTTACATTAAAAAGTTAGAATTATGAAAGTAATTCCTTACATTACCCGACATAAAACTTCCACGTTTTGTGTCATATAAGAGTACTGCATACTTTGAAACTGTGACTAATTTTATTAATTCAGTCTGTGTTAAAACCTTAGTTCATTGTCTTCCAGTTCCGCATGATACACCCCATTTGCGATCTCTATTTATTTATAAATGTATACTGCTATAAGATTTTTTAAAGTCATAAATAAAAATGTACTTCCCTTCCTTTGGTTTGGTAGTTAATTGGTTGAACGGAAGCTTTCAAAGAAACTAAGTAAAATTCTCTTTCAGAAACTTATCTACAGGAATACTATTTCTTTCAGTTTAAAATCAAAACCGGAAAGTTAAAACTGATTGATATGTCATAAGGTAGTAAAACCACAGACGAAAAAGAGTGGCTACTGTTCTCAACATTTTTATCTGAAGAGAATTTTTGTGGACATTGTAATAATTTAATAATTGGGTTCATAAGATAATTGAAGCTAGACCACCATTGAAAACCTGGAAACACTGAATGGCCGTTTTGTTGTAGTATGGGACTCTTCCTCAGTGCCTATCCACGATCTCGCCACGAGAGATTCGAGCCCAGAGTCTCCGGTCTCGCACACAAACGCCTCACCTTTAGACTATTGAGCCGGTATCCGATAGTGTTAATGTCTAACTTCAACTAATCCACGAAATCGCATCACCGTCCACGATTGTCTTCAGTGAGTTATTATCTCACAACAGAACCGGTTGAACTCCATTAGTTACTGCTTCTCACTAGAACTTCATGAAATACCTCTCGATGACAATGATGAATGATAGCTCAATTTCGTTGATTGGTTGGAGTTAGACATTAGTAACGTTAGATGCCAGCTTACTGGTCTAGAGAATAAACATTCGCGCGCAAATCAGAAGTCTTGGGTTGAAGTCACGCGAGCTAGATCCAATGTGTGCTGTCCAGTGCTTCCAGGTTCTCCATAGTGGTCTAGCTTCAACTGACTCATGAACTCAATATTTTTATTGGTAAATAAATGAATCTATATTTAACCTATATAGTGTTTGACAAAAGTTATACATTTTAATAATTAGTCTGTCAAATAAAATGAACAAACCATCATTTTATATAATAAAAAATTTCTTACTGTATCTAATTTTAATTATATATTTCAGATGTAAACAATTACGAACACCACCAAATATGCTAATAGTTAATTTAGCTATTTCTGATTTTTCTTTTGCACTTATCAATGGTTTCCCACTAAAAACAATCGCTTCATTTAATCAACGTTGGGGATGGGGTAAATTAGGTGAGTACAATCTTTGCTGCCATTTATCTGATTTCTTTTTTTTGTGTGTGTGTTTTTTCACTATTTCAAATGTCGAAAATCATATTTATGGTTTTTACGATTGTTTAATATGTAAAATTATGTAAAACTTCATTTCAATATAATTGATGTTTGAGTAAGTAAAATGTACACAAAGATAAGGAAAACATCAGCTAACTGTTTTCGTGCAATCTGATCATAAATAAATATATTTTTTAATGTTTAATGTAAACCAAATAAAATTATGTTTTATTTGTGATTGAATGTCCAATTCAATAGGTGATGATTATTATAAAATAGGATAGAAGCTCATAGTGACATGTGTAACACTACAGGCTATTGATTATTATAGATTTTATTGTACAAGATGTGGTAGGTCCAAAAAAGTCTCAATGACTTATCACAATGATTTCGTGTAGATAAATGATCGCATTCAAGTTGTATTTTATACTTTTATACCAAATAAGTATACACTATTGTAGAGAATAAACGAATATTTGTCCAATATACTGAAATTAAGTTCTGTGAAACTGTTTAAGTTTATTTCGATGGATAATTGATCATGAACTAAAGTATTAAATGTACCTAATTCCTGAAGTCAGGCTTTGAAAGACAAGCACATTTTGTTTGTTCTGTTCCTTACAAATGACTTCGGTAAACTACAATGCACATGATGTTGTTTGAAATTTTACTTGTGTTCATACACTGATAGTTAATGAGTATAATATATATATATTTTTTTCATTTCTAAAGCTTGTGAGTTATATGGATTTGCTGGTTCAATATTTGGATTTATTTCATTAACAACAATGGCTTTTATTGCTTTGGATAGATATTTAGTAATTTCACAACCATTTAAAGCATTTTCACGTATCACTTATGGAAAAGTTATAGTTATGATTTTTATCACATGGATATGGTCAGCATTATGGTCAATTCCACCATTTTTCGGTTATGGTTAGTTTATTATGAATCACTTTTGTTTTAAATAAGATGTGTTTTTTTCATTTAGAACTTATCAATATTCGTTAACCTATAGAAGAATATAATCTTCCCAAAATTTCTAAGGGAATATTTGGAGTTCAATTAGATTAACGTAACAGCAAACATTTTACAAACTAACTATCGAAGTAATGTTTACTTTAAATCTAATAGCTATTAACCATCAAATATTCTGTATTTATATATCCCTAACTTTTATTAAATTTTACAGCGACTTGTTAAGAAAAATGTATTTCTTTCATTAGAATTGTGTAGAACACTGAATACGTTTTACATATATGTTGCTAACCTAAATTTAGTTGTTAAGATAATCATTACAGAACTTCTTTTTCAGCTTCTGTTTATAGGATTTCTAATTATAACATAACTTGTCTTAATGAATGCCTTTTCAAATAGTTGACAGAACATCACCAATTTCTTTAGAAAAAGTATATTTCCATAGATAAAACGCCAATCAATAAATTAACCAGTAATTTTGGATAATGGAATAATTAGTATGTTTACAAAAATTACACCAAGAAAGTGAAACAGCTAAACATTGTAGTAAATTTCGATTTATATTTCTTTACATGTAGGATAAGTTCATTACAAGATCTTTAATTATAGAATTATCTAATGAAATGGTACAATATAAATAAGAAATTATTGTTTATACGATAATCATTCTAGAATGTTATTTTCAAAACTTTCGAAAAAATAAAGGAACATTATTTAGAATGATTCTTTAACATTACAACCATCATTAAGCATGAAATGCTGATTTTTGGTATCCATATACATGTATGATGTTATGAAATGCGATTTCTCAAGCATACAATGTTTTTTTTCAGTTTTCCAGAAACTATCACTTCTAATCTTTAAACAAAACAGTATCATCATTTTAATAAAAGATTTGCTCATAGTTCTCTTAAATATTGATATCCTTTTTATGACCCATAAAATAAATGGATGAAAGAAGAAATAAACTGAAATTCAATTTTAATGTAAATGGTATTCTAATTTCTATACTTGATGACTTTTAAGAAAATACACAATGAGTATTGTCATAGAAATATAAGAGTAAACCATTAATATTATGTGAATTAGTATAGAATCACTGAATTACATGTTCTTATACGTTAATTTATTGATTTGAATGAATAAATATCATTTTTGATTTTATATAATCATCACTTATCAAGGAATACGCACAGTATGCACATATGCCAATAACAGACTGATCAATTGCAGTCTTAAACCTCAATGGGAAGACACAAGCAAAACAATACCAAGTGAATTCAAATTATCCCATTGCACAAGAAAGTAACTATCAGGACTCAGTAGCTGAATGAATAACTCGATGGCGTTTGAAGTGAACGGTATTAGGTTCGAGTCCCAGAGTGAACATCAACTCTGAGATGCAGGTACATTCAGCTGACGAGTCCCAAATAGGACGAAACGCGCATCCTGGATTCCACTGCTAGCCACTATCCATCATTGCTTACAAATAGCTTGTGAATTAAGGTTATATCGAGGTATACGCACAGTATGCACATGTGCCAATAACGGACTGATCAATTGTAGTCTTAAACCTTAATGGGAAGATGCAAGCCAAACAATACCAAGCGAATCATTTAAATGATTTCATACAATTTATTTCTTTGATAGTAGTTTTATTAAGACAAGTATAGAAACAATCAATTTCAATCGATGTGTTTGAAATCATCCAGATACATAGAAGTTTTATAAAGAAGTATTTCATGAGTATAACTTGCAAAAGATATTCATAAAATTATTCACTCTACTAGTAATGTACTTTCATAATTACACAAATCGAACTTGCATAAAAATGATATGACAGTCATTCACGAAAGGTATGTACAAATGTTTGTTAATAAAAGTAGACAAAATAATGAAATCGACAATAATTATAATAGTAGTATTGAAATAGCTACAATCATATTGATAATGATTATGTTGTGAACAAATAGGTTGTCAAAATGAAAAAGATTTAGAATTGTTTTCGAAATATCAATAATAATAATAATAATATGTAACTTCACCTCATAATATTTGTTGCGCTTGTCTTACAAAAATCAACTAATCAATGAATATTATGTAATGAAGTCATATAAGCAAACAAAACTGTTATTCTTCAGGTGGTTTAATAAAGGTTCTACTAAAAAGTAATAACAGTGTCATTTACGCTGAGTTATAATTTTTTTATAAAAGCAAAATTCAAGTAAATCTGACGTATACATCTAAAGGTGATCGACAGTTTCTTAACTTCATAGTTAAGTCTTCACTTGAACACTAATCTAAATGAAACCTATATATATCGTTGAAGTGTTAGATCTGAATCTGGAAATATGTATGGTTAAATATAAACCATTTCTAAACATATTCCTAAGTTTTATAAGTTGTCAGGAAGAACAAACTCTTGATGTCCTTCACTTTCATTATTTTCTATCTAATGTTTAGACTAAGTTATTCTTTGATTCCAATATTTATTATTCATTTTATTTTATTTTACAACCTATGCAAATCATTATAATGGACAATTTAATGATTCAGGAAGTTATATACCTGAAGGTTTTCATACATCTTGTACTTTTGATTACCTGTCAACCGACTTACCGAACTTAATATTCAATGCAGGATTATACATATTGGGATTTCTTTGTCCTGTATTTATTATAATCTTCAGTTACTATCAAATTGTTAAAACAGTTAGACTCAATGAATTAGAATTAATGAAAATGGCACAATCATTAAATGCACAAAATCCATCAGCTATGAAAACAGGCAAGTTGAATGATATTTGTGTAATATTATTATTAATTGAAATACTAAATAATACATTTTTAGAAGCGCTATATTTTACAGATAGTTTAAAAACAATGTGTTTCTACATATATTTCATACATCTAATTGTTAGATCCAAGCTCTTTCTGTTATGAATTCGTGACCCTAGAATCATTGCTGTAATCAATAAAACAAAAGTTTTGAAGAAACTATATTTTTCTCCTGGAACAACATTATTCAAAATATCCGAAAGATAAATTCAGTTAACCTCATTAATAAGCAACACTTTAATGTCTTATTGAATTCAATGAAAAATCAAATTGAAAATATGACTTTTTGGCAACAATGATACTTTCATCTTATACCTTAATATATGATTAAGAAAAATTATTATATCATTGGTGAAAAGAATTAAAAAGGCTACTAATCTATGTGTATTATAGTTTTTATCATGTTGATCAATTTATTTGTTTCGTGTAAATTAATTAAAAAAAGTAAATGCAATTAAATTTAACTATAATATCAAATTTATGTATAGTTATAGAAACTATATTTTATATTAATAGTATCCATGTTCAATCATTTATTATACTTTTTAATCATCTATATGAACTATAGTAATCTTAATTGAACAGTATGATGCACAATTTATGGTCACTATTTTGAAATAAATTAATAAATAAACTGTTTGATTACGTGAGTGAATTAACTTTTAAAAAAAACACATTCAGAAATGAATTGAGAGGTTTAGTTTAGTTAACATCATAAACCAATATTAAGGTTGATTTATTTAACTTGATAAGAAATGATGCAACATATAGATAATGATGATTTATTTAAAATCTTGATCGATTTAGGTTTATGGCAGTAATGATGACACACACTAGAAAATTGAAACTTTTTAAAACGAAGCCAGTTGGTCCTGGGTTCGAGCGCCGCGAGGTGCGTGATCGTGGATGGGCGCTGCTGAGGAGTCTCATACTAGGACGAAACGGCCGTCCAGTGCTTCCAGGTTCTCCATGGTGGTCTAGCTTCAACTGACTCATGATTCCAACCTGTGATAAATAATGTATTTTATATTAAGAACTGGTTTAAAGTTTACTGATTAGATAAGCACTGAATGTTCCTTTGGTGTCTTCTTTAAACATTATCAACGTCAACAATAAGTGATGTGAAGATGAGATAAGATAATTCAAGACCTTATAAATCTGAGAAAATTAGCTTGAAAATAAAGTTTTCAAATTAAATTGCTTCTTAAAGTACGACTTGAATTTCAGTTTACAACTTTTCAGTTAATAGTTTATCTAATTATCAGCTACGCTTCCCCAACGCGATCGAACTTCAGTCACTTTTAGTATGATAAGTATTTATCATAAATAGGCATTTTGTTTTTCTAAAAGAATAAATTCCCTTTTGATATCATGAATGGCCAAATATCTCATGAACTCTTTGTTATTACTTTGTTTTGATTTTTTTAGGTGATAAGAAGGCAGATATTGAAGCAGCTAAGACGTCTATTATTCTTGTTCTTCTGTATTTAATGTCATGGTCTCCTTATGCCATTGTATGCTTAATGACACTAGTTGGAAGTAGAGATTCGTTAACTCCATTTCACTCTGAGCTCCCTGTGTTATTTGCAAAAACATCTGCTGTATACAATCCTATTGTATATGCAGTCAAACATCCTAAATTTCGTTTGGAAATCGAGAAACGTTTTCCATTTCTTATTTGTTGTTGCCCACCTAAACCAAAGGTATGTAACACATCCTAAAAGTTTATTATTTATCCTTGTAATAACAAAAATTTATTATGCAATATTTAAGATCTCCTATCCATGATATTTATTTGATACATGTTTGTACTGTTGATATCTATGAATCTCACTTATACTTCTCAGACCGGATAGTTGTTCTCATTCACTGACCTTATTGGATAAGTAAAACTACTAAAAGTTAGTTAATGCCACAATTGAAACAGAATTTGTTTAGCCAAAGTATATCCATTCAAATATCCTCAACTAACACAGTAACATTCTTGGGATTAAATGCGTACACTTTGCTGGCATATATTTGAATATATTTCCATAGTCAACACGCTTTCAGTGTACTGAATATTAGTAAGTTGTTTTATGTAAGGTTACTTGTTAAGGCCGACAAAACGTAACTGTACTAACAAAAATGTTAAAGTCATTGACTTAATGTTATGACTAAAAGCTAATAGAATGCTCAGGAATGTTTAACATTCTATCCTTCATTTTGAAAATGAACAATAAATATACAGAGATAGATAGTGGCTGACAGTGGAATCCAGGACGTGCGTTTCTTCATATTTGGAACACATCAGCTGGGGGTACCTACATTTCAGAGTCGATGTTCACCCCCGGGTTCGAGCCCAGTACCGTTCACTTGAAACGCCATCGAGTTATCCACCTAGCTACCGAGTCCTGATAGTCACTTACTTGTGCAATGGGGTGAAGTTTCAATTCACTTAATATTATTAACTTGAATCTTCCCATTGATGTTTGAGATTGCAATTGATCAATCTCTTATTATCATATGTGCATCCTGTGCGTACTGCTTCGATTCACCTTTGTTCATTATGCTTTTGAATTAAGGCAATATCGAAGTAATATGCACAGGATGCACATATGCCAATAAGAGACTGATCAGTTGCAATCGCAAACATCAATGGGAAGACTCAGATAAACAATAACAAGTGAACTTCAACAACAAATTATCCTAAAAAATAAATAGTAAACAATATTTTCATATGAAGTGACAATTAACTTTGTGGGAAATATCTGATTGATATCGTTTTCCATTTCCAGAAAGTTTGTGATCAGTTTGTAAAACAATTACTAATTAATACATTTGGTTACAATATAGATTGACTTCTTATTTGGTTCTATTATAATCAGTTGCGCTTCTGTAATGTTTGTTTACAGTTGAAATTCTTTTCCTAAATATGTGATTGTGTTTATGATTGATTTTTAGTTTTATTAAGTTTACAGTAAGATGAAAATATGATTTTTATCAAACAATACCATATTGTCGTATACAATTATTACATTATCATAATCACCTAGGTACATTAAAACAACTGATCATTCTTGTTGATCATATAATATATTTCTTTTTTTCCTCAAGACTAAGTTATATCAACACTGAAACCACAGCAGTATACTAACAAACTTTTAGTAACGAATTTATGTTGACAAATTATTTGATGATATTTAGTGATTATTTATATATTGAAGTTAGAAGACTTAATGTAAAATCTGTTTCTTTTTATAACCAGGTCTTGCCTTGTATTGACAATAAATTTACTAATTTATCAAATTTATAAATCTGTTTTATCAGATAGACACAGGGTTTATTTATTACGTTTCAAAAGTTCACTTACTGATTTCTGATGTTTGTTGAAGGTATATTGATAGTACTTTGATTGATGATGTCAAAAACTGTACGATACTTTCTTAATGTTGAAGATAACATTTGAGTTCAGTGATTGAAATAAATTTTTGTCTTAATAAATGAAATAAAATATTAAATTAGTTACTGCAAATATTTCTCAATAAACTGAATTTTTCCGTTTCGTCGATCAATTTTATTTTCCAAATAAAGAAAACTTGTGAAGTTGAGGATCATTTGCCTTAAGTTTGAATTTTTTAAACAGTAATCACTCAAGTTTTCTCTTATAGAAGGTACATTTTATTTTCACTTACAGGGTATGATAAGTATACCGTGCTGATTCAGCTTCTAAAAACATCGCCACTCAATTCTTTCGTATTTATTCATATTTAAACTAGAATCCACACACACAGTTCTTTAATGGGTTATATAACTTTTTAGATTGATTAAGTATACATAAATTATCTTAGTGATTATGTTAAGAATATATGATGTACTTGAGTTATGAATTAATAAACAAATTGAATATCTTTCAATAGCCCATCTTAGGACTTTCTTTTATTTCATTTGAAAATATTATATTAACCTCTAATAACCTAACTCAGGATTATCAGTTCCGAATAACAACAAAATAATGTAAGTAACATGACTTTCGGTCAAACTTGTACTATGATGTTTTTTTTATGTGAATGAAAACTAAAACAGAAATATTTTTTTCAACACGTAACGATTTATCGATTTTTTATTCTATTCTTGGAACTCAATCACTGAAGATTTAAAAACCAAAAAAAAAAATACTTTTTTTAAGCGATTCAAATATACACTTGAAGCATAGACGATTTCCTAACAAACCTATAAGAAGAGATTTCATTTTAACGATTTTTTATGATGAAACGGCCGTCCAGTGCTTCCAGGTTTTCAATGGTGGTCTAGCTTTAACTGACTCATGATTTCAATCTGTGAGGTTATTTTATAACCTAACATTATTTTCAGTAAGCAATTGTATTGTTTCCAAAGAGAACTATCTAATATATACAATCTGTTCTCAGAATTTAAGTTTGATTTTGAACAAAATATAGAAGTACTAGATGTATATTTTGTAAATTTTTGTTTTAAACACGGATCAATGATATTTAATATATAAAAACATTTCACCAGAATGAAGTAAGGAACTACATGGTATATGTTCAAATAAATTTTTCAAAAATGACTTGTATTTCTGTTTATTTTTTGGAAATATAAATTAGCTCAATTCAGAATAACTTGAAATATCTAATTGATGATAGTTTTTAACTAGAATTTGAATAGTCTCAATTGATATTTGAGCACTCTATGTAACTTTCTTTCATATAACTTCATTTCATCTATTGTATATAATTAAATGTTCATCTTCATTATGCTTAATACAATACCTTATATCTTCTTATAATGATTATCAGTTAAAATCTAAATGAACTCATGTAATTCCACAAACCATAATATTTTCTTACTTTGTCAACCTTAAAAATGAATGTATGTTTCATGTTATATTCAATAAAGATAGTTTTAATTGTTTGCTGATCTGTAAATTCTAATAAAAAGGATTATAATAAATATCTATAAAATGATAAATAAGTCATTTTATTGATGATTATAGTTTTTTTTCTGAATTTCATAGAATAACGTAAGCATCCTTTATATTTTTTTAATTATCATCATATTTGAATAAGACAAAAATATCACACTGAGAATAAACACGTTCATCACCTAACTATTCTCCCTTATAATAACCTAATTTTATATTTTACCCACATATATCTTATATATATATATATCATTGAAACTATGGATGTAATTATATTTTTAGTTACTATACCTTACTTAAAACACTCAACTAAACAGTTATGATTTTCTACACTTTTGTCCGATATAGAAACAAAAACAAACAATCAAAATAATTATCATACCTTTACATAAATCTAAACATTTTTTTTATAATTTATATGTGAATGTGTCTACTAGATTTCTATTATAAAATAATTAAGAAAATAAAGTTAATCAAAATATTAATCTAAAACTTTTCAATTTATTATTATTTAATTATAAATAATAATTAAATATATAAATAACTTACTATAATTATTTATTTAATTTAAATATAATGTAATTGATAATACAATTAGTTGCTAAGTGAAATGTATTAAACACTATTCAATTTAAATTGATTAATGAATTAATTAATTATTGATATCATTCATGAAGTCATTTGTAAAAAAACAAAATACTCAAATATTTGTAGAGACAAAATTAATAACTCCATAACATTAACTTCCAATCAAATTTTATTGTTCATTAAATGGTAACTCTCACTTGTTTAATGAAATAAATAATTTTAAAAAAAAAAAATTTTTTTTTATTTGTTGATAATTATCCATGTAAATAGGATCATTTTTATGGTAATTTATACGGTACTAGTGACATATGAAATAGTGAATAAATAAATAAATAAGATGTTACTGTTATAAACTGTTGCATTTTGTTGTTTGTTTGTTTGTTTTTGCTGATATAATATTATCTTTTTAATATCCATCTAAACTTTAACCAATTAGAAAATAGGCCAATACAGAAAATAATGTTTATCGTGAAAATTCTCTTTTTATGTTTGTCCTGTTCCCTTTTCTTTTTTTATGATTACAGGAACAGTCACCAGTTTAAGTACATGTATTCATTCGATATGAGTATATATATATATATATATATATATATATATATATATATATATATATATATATATATATATATATATATATATGTCTACATATGCATTTACTTATATGTAATCTAGTACAATCTATCCACATTAAATTTAATAAGTAACGGTAAGGTAAATAGAACAAGTGAATAATACAAGAAGTTAATTTATTCACAAAAAGAAAAACGGAATAGTAAAATTATTTATAACATTTTCAATTGAAAAATAAAAAAAGAAAAATAATGATGGTATTTGTCAGAAAACATTTTTTGTTCTGAAACATTCAGCTGATAACTTCTATTAAATATTAATTATGCCTGTTACTCCCAATGGAGCATAGGCCGCCGACCAGCATTCTCCAACCCACTCTGTCCTCGGCCTTCTTTTCTACTTCCATCCAATTCTTGTTCATTTTTCTCATATCTATTTCCATTTCTCGGCATAATGTATTCTTTGGCCTTGAGGATTTCATGTGAGGGCTTGTCTTGTGACGCAGTTGGGTGCTTTCCTCAATGTGTGTCCTATCCACTTCCAGCGCTTCTTCCTGATTTCTTCCTCCGTTGGGATCTGGGTTGTTCTTTCCCATAGTAGGTCGTTGCTGATGGGTCTTGG